TTTTAAAAATCATAAATGTCATGTCAGCTATTTAAATCTGAAATTTCATGGAGTTGTAATTGTAGGGGTCCTGATCCAAAAAGAAGTCGTGGAGGGGTTGCAAAGTTATTTTGGGGGGAGGGGGGTGTTATGATATTTCCACCCTTACTTCTGTGCTGCTGCTGGAGAGGTGCTGCCTTCAGAGCTGGGTGCCTGGCCAACAGCTGCTGCTCTCCAGCCGCCCTGCTGTGCAGGCAGTGCAGAAGTAAGCGTGGCAACACTGCTAAAATAACCTTGTGATCCCCCTACAACTCCCTTTTGGGTCAGGACCCCTACTTTGAGAAATGCTGGTCTCCCCCATGTAATCTGTATAGTATAGGGTAAAAGCATACAGAAGACCAGATTTCACAGGAGCAGACCAGATTTCATGGTCCATGATGTGTTTATCATGGCCATGAATTTGATAGGGGGACATATGGCACAGAAGGGTGAAGACCTTGGCCCATGAGGGCCACAAGTTTCTCACCCTATCCCATGAGCCCAAGGCCCATCAGTAAAATCCTAGGTCTTTTACCTCTGGAAACTGTTCATTTTATCCTTTTAATTGCTCCAGAAACCAGTCACAAGTTGCAATGAATTAACAACTCAACCAACTACTGTAGTTAGTACTGCATGTACTCTGGATGCCAACACAAATTCCCACATCAAGTTATCAAGTAGAAACGAAGTGGTGTGAGTAAACGCCCAAAAGAAACCCTAAGAACCCTGAGCAGGGAGGGCAGAACAATTATTCTCAACGCCATAGAGCAGATGGAAGAGACTAATTTCTGGACTGTGTGCCAATATGGGCGAGGGAAGGATTCAATATATATAATGCAAGTGGGGATAAATTGCCAAACTAGGTAATAACTGTTTATCATATACATTTGACATTATCACCTCCAGTCATGTCTATTAACACATCCCTGCCAGGATTAATTACATTCCAAAACTCTGAGCAGCCTTCCAATAGTCATTTAAAACAAAAAAAAAATCAAACTAATTTTGTCATCTTGCCACAGAAATGTTTCTTCCCCAATCCCACATGAATGTGGAGTTTTCCCCGTTCTAAGGTATAGGCTTAATAGCCACACTCCGCCCAGAGTCAGTGATATTTTAAGGTCCTCATTTTTTTCTGTTACTTTAATAAAAATTATAATTAATTTGTACTAAGGGTGTGCTGGTCAAGATCTGAAAAATCCCCTTTTCTATTCCATAAACTTAGCCCAACATCTCTGCTGCCTCCATATGAAGTCTCTCTCTTGACCCTTGGTAACTGTAGAATTATCAGCAATGATGGTGAAGGGTGTTGGAGTAGGGAGAGAACTCTCAGCAGATGGCCTATGGAAAATGGAATACACTTCCTCAAGAGGAGCTGAGGATAAATGTGGAGTTTACCATACCTTAATGTTTAAAATAAAGCCAGTTTATGTTAAGAATGTTTGTTAAAGTTCTATAATTGTGCGCTTTTATTGGAGTACATTGTTAGCCCCACTGCTGTAATGTGTGTGGTGAGACCAAGCTTCAACTCCCTTCCTCTCTCCCTTGTTCCCTATGCCATGGGCAGGTTGTTAACCTCTTCATTGCTTGAGTTACAAAACATCCCCCCAACCACTCCCCTCACCCAGTGCTGGCTACCTCCTCTAACACTTTTTTGGCTTAAAATAGAACTGGATTTGTGAACTCCTTAGTGATGGGCAGTTAGTCACACAACTAGTCCCCCTGTCAACCGAGTTACCAACTCACACAATTTATCACGAGCCTTGTGTGTTTTAATATTTTTCTGAAAGCCACAGCTGCTGAAATATGATGTTGCATGAGAAACAGCTTTCATTGAAAAAAAAGAAAAAGAAAAAAAAGTGAGATTCTAGCCCTCAGGGTTGTGAAGAAAAGCATGAAAATATACAAGTGCAGCCTGCGAGGTAGGAGGGTCCCAGAGCTTGGGCTGCAGCCTGAGCTCACACATCTACACCACAAATAAACAACCCCATAGCCTGAGCCCCACGAGCCTGAGTCGGCTGGCATGGACCAGCTGCGGGTTTTTAATTGCAGTGTAGACATACCCCAAGAGTCTAGTACCCTGGTCCAATGAGTCTTTATTTATCCACAGTGAAACAGCTTCAGTAGGAAGGACTTGATGAGACCCACATCACAATATCTCATAGCCCAGAGTTTAGGGTGCTCTCCTGAAGGGTGGGAGATCCCTGCTCAACTTCTTTGTCCCCATCAGGCTGAGAGGGGAATTGAGTCTGGATTATCTCCCGCATGCCAGGTGAGTTTTCTAACCACTGAGCTAAAAGTTATAAGGTAGGAGGTGGCAGCATCACATCACCTCCTTCTCCTCTGGCTGTTCTGTATGGAGTTAATTTCAGTGGGTGACACCTTGTTCTTGTTACATGAAGGGGTAAGTGACATTTCCCTATTCACTCTCTCCATACCATTCATAATTGTATAGACCTCTCGCATATCCCTTTTTAATCATCTCTTTTCTAAAATGAACAGTCCCAGTCTTTAAACTTGCCTCATAGAGAAGATGGTTGTCTGTGTCTGGCATGGTAGACTTGAGAATCATGGCATTATTAATAATCAAAGCTGTCCTCAGCAGTAAATTGCATTCACAAATTAGAAACTACTAACACTGAATTCCCTATACACCCAAAACTCTCACTGAAGTCCATGGGAGTTTTGGGTGTGCAGGGAATGAGGAACTAGGCCTTATGTTTGTAGCTGTGCCTTAATACTACTCAATACATTTAAATACATAATACTATAATAGCCAAAGATTAAAAAAAATAAAAATCATATCTACAAATTATATACAATACTGACATACTATACCAGACCATTATTTTTGCTAAATATTTATACTATCGTAGAGCCCAGAGGTCCCCAACATGATTGAGCCTCCCTTGTCCTAGGTGCTACACAAACACATCAGACATGGTTCTTGCCCTGCAGCATTTAGAATCTAAGAATACATGTGACAAATAAAAGGTCTGAGGAAAGGGAAACAAATATATGCAATTTGTGAATACATTTGGATTATCTTTATTATTATAATTAGATAAAGTACCAACTATCTGTATCTGCCCCTCAAGCCTTCATTAACTGGCTGATTTCTCATAGGCATGAAGCAGAGATGGGTTTTGAGAAGAGATGAAGAGGAAATTGTAGTGGAATTCCATCCCACAATGCCATGCACACATGTGGATAGGTGGTGATGGTGAGGTCTGTAGATTCGCGAGTCAGTGCAGGTTGTGTTAGGGGTATATGAGAAGGTAGTGGTGAGGGGTGTGGTGTATGTGGGGGTGTCAATTCAGCAGGCACAACTGCACTGTGCAGGATCAGTGCAGCAGACACAGCTGTGTTAGGTAGAGGGGTGATAAGGTCCAAGCAGCAGACACAGCTGTATTATGTGTCTGTGTGGGGCAAGGATGGTGGGGTGTGTATGGAAGGGGGGGTCAGTGCAGAAAACAGGTCTGTGTAAGTTAAGGGCAGCTGCCGCAGGCAGGGCTATTAGGTGCATGGGGGTGGTCAGTGTAGCAGACATGCCTATGTGAGGTGTGGGTGGCTGTGTGTGTGTAGTTGGGGGTCAATGCAGCAGTCGGGACAGTTTAAAGTGTGGGGGGTTGTGTGTGAGAGGGTCAATGCAACGGGCAGGGCAGGGTGAGCTGTGGGAGGTTGTGTGTTTGTGTGGGTCTGTACAGCAGGCAGGGTTGTGTAAGGTGTGGTGGGCTGTAGTGCGTGTTGGGGGTCAGTGCAGCAGTCAGGGTGGTGTGAGGGGTTAGAGTGCATGTGGGTCAGTGCACCAGGCAGAGCGGTGTGAGGGGGTGTAGGTGTGCGTGTATGGGACATCAGTGCAGCAGGCAGGACTGTGTGAGGTGTGGGGCTGTAGTGTGTGTGTAGGGGTCAGTGCAGCAGGCAGGGTGGTGTGAGGGGCTGTAGTGTATTGGGTATGTGGGGTCAGTGCACCAGGCAGAGTGGTGTGAGGGGCTGTAGTGTGTGTGGGGGGGTCAGCTCAGTAGGCAGGTGGGTCAGTGCATCAGGCAGAGTGGTGTGAGGGGCTGTAGTGTGCAAGTGGGGGTGTCAGTGCAGCAGCCAGGGCAGGATGAGGGGCTGTAGTGTATTGTATGTGTAGTCAGTACAGCAAGCAGCTTGGTGTGAGGAGCTGTAGTGTATTGTGTGTGGGGGGGTCAGTCCAGCAGGCAGGGCAGGGTGAGGGGCTGTAGTGTATTGTGTGGGAGGGGGGATCAGTGCAGCAGGTGGTGTGGTGTGAGGGGCTGCAGTGTATTGTGTGTGGGGTCAGTACAGCAGGCAGGGCGGGGTGAGGGGCTATAGTGGATTGTGTGTGGTGGGTCAGTGCAGCAGGCAGGGTGGTGTAAGGGGCTGTAGTGTATTGTGTGTGGTGGGTGTGAGGGGCTGTAGTGTATTGTGTGTGGTGGGTCAGTGCAGCAGGCAGGACGGTGTGAGGGGCGGTAGTGTATTGTGTGTGGGGTCAATACAGCAGGCAGGGTGGGGTGAGGGGCTGTAGTGTACTGTGTGTGAGAGGACTGTAGTGTATTGTGTGTGGTGGGTCAGTGCAGCAGGCAGGACGGTGTGAGGGGCGGTAGTGTATTGTGTGTGGGGTCAATACAGCAGGTGGGGTGGGAGGCTGTAGTGTATTGGGTGGGTGGGGGTCAGTGCAGCAGGCAGGATAGTGAGGAGCTGCTGTGTGTGTTGGAGAGTATCAGGGCGGTGTGCGGGGGGTCAGGGCAGCAGGCAGGGTGGTGAGGGGCTGTTGTGTGTGTGTGTGCAGGGCGGAGTGCGGGGCTGTAGTGTAGTGTATGTGTGTGTGTGTGTGTGGGGTGGGGGGGAGGTCAGTGCCCCTACCGGCGGGGTGGAAGGGGGCAGTGCCGGCCAAGCCGGCCGGCGGGGGCAGGTGTACGTGCGGGTTCCCCTGCGCTGCCCGGCGCGCTGGAGGTGCGCGGCGCTCGCTGGTGGTGGTGTTTGCGCATGACCCCTCCCCGTCTGCCCGCCCGCTCGCTCGCTCGCTCCTCCCCCCCGGCGGCGGAGGTTAGCCTGAGCCTCAGACACAGGCGGCTGCTCGGCGGCGGCCGCGGCGACGCAGTGCAGAGGTGCGGGCAGGTTGCGCCGGCCGTGAGCCCTGTCTCCTTCGCGCCCCGCCTCCCTCCGGAGCCCTCTCCCCGCGGCGGCCTCCTCTCCCCGGTGTCGGGCCGGCCCCCCGGCCATGAGCGCGGCGCTGGGTGTCCCCCCGCCGCGCCGCCTCCCCCGCCGCCCCCGGCGGCTGCCGGGCTCCAGGAAAGTAGCTTGATGAGTGTCCAAAGTAGCAGTGGAAGTTTGGAGGGGCCGCCATCTTGGTCCCGGCTCTCCACGTCCCCACCGAGCCTGCAGGGCTGCTCCGCGGCGGCGGCCTCCCTGCTGCACAGCGCGCCGCCCGGCAAGCCGCCCAAGGAAGGTAAATAGCGCGCTCCGTGCCCACGGCGCTGCGAGGGGGGCCCGGCCCTCGGGGAGGGGCCCAGCCGCCGCCGCCGGAGGCCAGTCCCAGGCTCGTGAGGCCGGGTGCGCGGTGAATGGGGGTGAAGGCAGGCGGGAGTCTTGTCCTTATTGCAGGGGTATTTCCCCCTCAGCACAGGGGGGACCCCCAGATCCTGCCGTGGGGGACCCTGCCTTCTCCTGAGGGACAATCGGGAGACACCCCCTAGCCCCTAAATCCAGCAATCTCTCCCTCATCCCTGTTTGTTAGCAGCAAAAGCGTTTCGATATTCTCCTTCCCCCACCTTTGCCAGGGCTACGGAGGGGGATTGATTAATGTTTGTTCATTTCCTTGACAATCCTTATAGAAGGGGCTAAGTGTACGTGTTAATTTTTCATCCCTTCTTTGTGATTTTTATGGGAGAGACTTGCATCCTCTGTTCCTTTCCTTTCCCAATTTTATTCTCCATCTCATATTACAAAGTAAAAGTGATTTGCTGGATGTATTGGGTGAATGTGGCTGCTGTTGCTTAATGGAAAGGGTCGGGTCCTTTTGGCATCATGGAGGTAGAGTAGAAAAAGAGACCGAGATCAAGGAATTTGTTCCCCTCGGGGAGACACTTTTCCGAGCAGCTAATTTGGAAGACAAAAGTGACACGACACCTTAAAACCACCACAGAATGACTGCAACTTTCTCCTTTCCTCCATCACATCTTAGATGATAATATTTTTCTCCTCCCTCCCCTGCTCCTCCCCTCTTGTGTTATACCGACTGTGAGAGCAGGGTGTTGTGGGTGTTTGCAGGGAATATCTGTATGAAGGTTATGTGCAAACAAGTCTCTTTTTATTCTATTTCAGTTATTGTCCATTTTTCTCTTCCTTGCACTTGAAATACATTGCCACAAGATGTAGCAATTATACAGCTAGTGAAATGCTCAATGCTTTTAACTAAAATGACTGCATGCTGTACACCAGTTACTGCTAGAGAACTTTTATACTCAAATGCATATATTTGTAAAGGGAAAAATATGCATATTAAGCAGTTGTATAATTGACTTGGATGTTTTATTCAGTATTGTTGGCCTCAGAATATTGAGTGCTTCTGTTGTCTTGTGTAGAGAACATGCTGAAAACTTTCAAACTTAAAATAGGCTAATAAGGTCTTAGAGAGAAATTGGATCGTTTTATTTAGAGGACACTTGTGCAGTACTACAAGTTTTATCAGTGAACAATTTCAAGACTTGACAATGTGTTCAGCCTCTTGAAAATGTATAAGAATGAGTGTGTTCTCAATCTCCATGCCAGTAGTTGTTAGACTTGCACCATTCCTTGTGACTTTTGCACATGCTCCTAGATCTGAGATAGGCATGAATACTCTCCAGAAGATATACAGTATGGAAAGGTTGGATGTATGGCATATGTTAAAGATGCCAAGTAAAGTGGCAAGCATTTTGTACTCTTGCCCCCTCAAGCTGAATCTTTAATAAGAGAAAACAGTGGTTTGTGTTTTATATATATAAAATTTACCAGGCTTAGAATAGTACATATTTTACTTTGTGAAGTTTTAATATTTTTGGATGCATTTATTCACCTGTCATAATTGGGATACTTGGTATATAAATCTTAAATTACTGTTGCAGTGTTATGTTTGTAATTCTTTTTGTAAATGAGTGAGCAGCATAACAAGTGCTGCTTGAACAGCCCTGACAAAAACGATACACAGAGGCATAATTTTATATTTATGTTTCTTATTTAAAATTGGTTAACAATATTACTATTTTTTCTGGCTACAATAATTTAGGTTGTGCAATTCAGAGGTTAGAGAACAACCACAAAACCTGCTCTGTGTTGCAGGATAGCATAGTGTATTTACATACTATATTAATATCATTTATTCCCTGAGTGAAAACAGCAGACTCTGCTTTTGCCTCTTCCCTACTGTAGAGCTACTGAATTATTTTTGTTTGAAAAGAATGTGAGATATAGTCTTTTTTTTTAAAAATCTCTACCCGTTGGGCATTAACACTACACCTTACATTAACGCAAAGGAAACTTGCATGTCAAAAGAACCTCACATCAAGGTAATATGTCCCATAAAATAAAAATCAGCTATTTAACAATAGACTTGCACTATTTTCCAGTTATGCACATCAGTAAGCTCTGTAAATGAGTGATGGTTTGAAAGATCTGTTAGGTAATAGATTCATAGCTGTTTGTTCTCCCATTGATTAGTGCTTGGAAATTTGGAAATGTCCATTATTTTTTAATGCTGTAGCTATGACTAGCATTCTTTTAAAGTGTTTTTTTTTCTTTTTGGTTGAAACGCCCTATTCTGTGCCCTTTACTAGGTATAGGAAGGAGACACTTGGTTGTGCAAGTTATAGCCTACAAGTTATGCAGAGGCTGAGGGTGTTGGAATGTATTTGAATACCTTATGTTTTGCTGGTTTTTTTTGTGTATCACACACAACATCTGTTACTTAAGTACTTACCAAATATTGCTGTTGGTAGTGAAAACTTCAGTAAAAATCAAAAGACCAGATTCTGCTCTAAATTACAGTGGTATAAATGTGTTGTATATCTGAAAATCACCAGTATAACGGAGTAGAATTGGCCCAAAATTTAATGCACGTGATTTACTAGCTAGATAGAAATGTAAGTTTTATATGTATTAAATTGATACAACTTTGCAAATACTTAGACATTTGAGGAGCTCCTGTAAAAATACTGACAGACTTTGGCAATTTTTTTCCTAGAAGTTTCTTGACAAATATTAATAATAATTATTATTTGTATTCCTATAGCACCCATACTATGCTAGGTGCTGTCTGTACAAACATGAAAACTCAGTTCCTCCTCTGAAGAGTACCCAATCTGGGCAGTGTTCCCAAATGCAGGTTTGCCTTGTGCTTGCTACACATAGTGTGGTGTTCATAGGTATGAACATGAAAGCAGCCCGTTCAGAGTGGTTCCTTGTCTACATTAAATTTTAAATACATGAATACTTGGGCAACTTTCAGGGATTTTTTTCCCCTGTTATTACTTGTGTGAAGTGTAGAACGCAACAATTGCAAATTAGTTACAGGTAAATCTTTAGCAAGTCCACTGTCTCTTGTTGTTTCTTGACATGTAGTGGGAGATGTGTTTTGAGTTTTGAATCGTTTTATGGAAGAAGTCAGGTGAGATAAGGCAATGCAAGAAATCTGGGAGGTAATTCAGATTTCACGGTGATACTTTGCGTTTATTTTGTTTTAAAATGTGAATGAATGTAGCACTCATGAAAGAGAAGGTTTAATGTTAGTACTGGCTTATGTTTCCCTACATATCTCTACCAGTGTGCTGAGCTTCTTGTTGTAGGTTTCCTGTTAACAAGCTGATAGTCATGCCATATTATGTGGATTTGTGATGTGCACAAAATGAGTAATGGGAAAGGTCACTAAAATCAGTTGTATTTTTGCCCTTTATGGGGGTGGGGTACAGCAGGCGCATTACAGGAGCTCTTACCTGACCATATCTCCCTTCTTCTGCTGGCTTCCAACTTCTAGCCAGCTACACTTTCCCCTTTTCTGTGCACCTTTGGAGGAAAGCGTTGACACTTCAAACTTTAGGAAGTCAAAACGAGGGGAGCTACGTTCTTATGTTTGCGGTAGGAAATGAGCCAGTATCTTGAGTACTTACATAAGTTTGCAAGTGTGGGGCTCTCTTTCTGTTGACCTTAGTTTTTTTCCCAAATAGATCTCCCTCCACAGGATATAGATGGAGACTTTTGTAAGTATTCAGTATTGTGTGGCCAACAGACCAAGGGGACCTCGTCTTCCCCTTTCCTCCACAGTTTCTCTCGGGACTGTTGGATTGGGCCTCCACTTTTGTGGATCTTCTAGGATTTCCAGGGTGAGGGCTCTTATTCAGTGTCCCTTAAAATAATTTGTACAAAAATTAAACAACCAACCAACCAGTAACCCATGGGAAATTTCATTGAGATGAAGCTAAGGCTGCAGGCAGTACACATAGTTGGTTTGAGTAAATGTTATCTTTCAAGAATGTTAGTTTTACTAGTACACACAAACTTCAGAAAACCCAGGAAATTCAGAATTAAGATTAAATTTACAAAAACCCAAACCTTTGGAAGTATGGCAATTCATAGTGAAGGTAGCCAAGTTATGTTAACTCTGCCTCACGTTGATTCTAGGCTACTATTTTTCTTTCTTTGCATGTAGAGCATATAAACTTGGCAGTACAGAACACTGCACTCTATAACTTTGATACTGTTTTTCTTATATAGTAACTAAAATTTAGCACATAATATTTAAATAGTAGTTGAATTGACTTTCTTGGCCTATATCTATATAATATAAGGCATTATGTTACCAGATGATTTTATTAGTACAGCACTTCGTGCATCATTAAAAGTGATGTGCATCTATCTGAGCTAAACTTTCACCACTTAATACTAAAGTGCTCAGTACTGTAAATAAACAAGTTGAGAGGAACATTCTAGATGACTTTGAAAAATAGTGTTAATATTCTGTGCATAAAATGCAGGCATTAAATGGATTCACTTAAGAGTGGTAATATACACTTCAAATAAATTTGCTTCTAAGTTGTCTTTACTGCTCAGCGTATCATTAATTGAAAGCTTAGGCCTTGTCTATACACAGTTTTTATATACTGGTTTAACTGTTCCAGGTAGGGGGTTGATTTTTTTTTTTTACTAAAATGATTAAATTGATATAATATTACAGCTGCGTCCACACTAGAGGTTATAAATGCTCTTTTAAACTGATATAACTGCACCCATGCTAAGGGGTTGTAATGCTTTATACCTGTACAGTTAAATGGGAACAATCTTTGTGTGTAGACGTGACTCTACTCAGTTGTCCTTCAGCTACTAGCTACCGCAAATATTTGTTGCTTCCTGAAACACATCAGGATAAGAATGTCATAACAGAACTTTGTGATGTCAGTACCTTAAACTCCACTGCAC